GTGGTGGTCACAAATGATTTATTTTTTGTGACCAATGATTTGGTTGGTTTGTGATCAATAAATAATATGTGGCCTATGAATTAGATAAATTGTGACCAATGCAAGTTGTGTGACCTAAAAATTATTAATTTGTGATCAATAAATTGAAATTTTTTGACTTGAATATAATTTTTATTCAATTAATGTGATATTTGTGACCATAAAATAAATAATGTGACCTTCAAATTTTGTGATTGTGACCGCCGAAGAAATTGTGACTTTTAAATTTTTAAGTTATGACCGATGAACGAATTGTGACCTATGAGAATTTTGAATTGTAACCTAAAAATTGTCGTCGAAGTTGGAACACTTATCGGAATCGGAGCAGTCACCGGAACAAAGTAGCGGCAGAATGGTCATTGAAATAGTCGTCGAAATCAGAGCAGTCGTCGGAACAATTGTCGGAGATAACTTGTGGCCGGAACAGTAGCCGGAATAATCCTCGGAGCGGTGGGGTGGTGGAGGTGGGGTTGGATAATTATATTATATTAGAATTAAATATTTAATAATAAATTGATTTAATAATTCATTATTTCATAAATAAAAAATTAGAAAACCTGGTTTGTGAAATTTGAAACTTGTTTTTGTATTTTTGAAATGGTGTAAAGTAAATACCTTAGAAATGTATTATTCCTTTTCATCAAACAAGCACTAAACCCTAAATTTTTTTGGGCTTACAAAGTGGGCTTGATGCCTATGGAAGCCCATGTATATTCTCACATCAACCCATTACAAGAGAATGCTTCTCTCGAAGCCTATTATTTTTTTTAGCCGACCATTTCTATTGAATAATGATATCTTCATTGGCCATTTCATTGGGAAAAATTCATAAGGGATTAAGTATTACTTATTTCAACTAAGAAACAAGATTTAAAATTTCAAAATGGGATATTAATTATAGTTTATTTATGAAATAATTAATTAAAAATATATTTTATTAATTAAATACATTAATGTAATAATTCTATACAATTTGATCATAATTATTGAATTAATTGTTTGCAAATTATTTATTGGTTATATAACAAAATATGTCTTGAGTCACGGATCAAAAATTTTAAAGGTCACATTATTTCTGAGTCACAGATAAAAAATTTATAGATCACAAATCAAAATTGTATAGGTTACAATTTATTTATCGATCACAAAATCACAAATTTTATAGGTTATAACTTATTCAACGATCACATATTATTAAATGAATTGGTCACCAATAATTTCTTGATCACAACTTAATAAATTGTGAGTCACAATCTACCAAATAATTGATCACATATTATTTATTGGTCATATATTAACCAATTTATTGGTTAACATCAACCAAATGATTGGTCACGAACCCTACGCCATCCCCATCCCCATCCCCACTCCACAACCACAACCCCCACAAAAAAAAATTCTCAAATCTGCCGCTAAGCACCACTGCCACCACATGTGTCAACCAAAACCATCACCTCCACCCAGTGACGGATCCAAGATTTTTAGTCAACCTAGGCGATCGTAGATCGTCGACCTTTGTCAGCAATAAAATATTAAGAGCCCTGTTTAATGCCTTTTTTTTTTTNTTGTGTAAAGTAAATACCTTAGAAATGTATTATTCCTTTTCATCAAACAAGCACTAAACCCTAAATTTTTTTGGGCTTACAAAGTGGGCTTGATGCCTATGGAAGCCCATGTATATTCTCACATCAACCCATTACAAGAGAATGCTTCTCTCGAAGCCTATTATTTTTTTTAGCCGACCATTTCTATTGAATAATGATATCTTCATTGGCCATTTCATTGGGAAAAATTCATAAGGGATTAAGTATTACTTATTTCAACTAAGAAACAAGATTTAAAATTTCAAAATGGGATATTAATTATAGTTTATTTATGAAATAATTAATTAAAAATATATTTTATTAATTAAATACATTAATGTAATAATTCTATACAATTTGATCATAATTATTGAATTAATTGTCTGCAAATTATTTATTGGTTATATAACAAAATATGTCTTGAGTCACGGATCAAAAATTTTAAAGGTCACATTATTTCTGAGTCACAGATAAAAAATTTATAGATCACAAATCAAAATTGTATAGGTTACAATTTATTTATCGATCACAAAATCACAAATTTTATAGGTTATGACTTATTCAACGATCACATATTATTAAATGAATTGGTCACCAATAATTTCTTGATCACAACTTAATAAACTGTGAGTCACAATCTACCAAATAATTGATCACATATTATTTATTGGTCATATATTAACCAATTTATTGGTTAACATCAACCAAATGATTGGTCACGAACCCTACGCCATCCCCATCCCCATCCCCACTCCACAACCACAACCCCCACAAAAAAAAATTCTCAAATCTGCCGCTAAGCACCACTGCCACCACATGTGTCAACCAAAACCATCACCTCCACCCAGTGACGGATCCAAGATTTTTAGTCAACCTAGGCGATCGTAGATCGTCGACCTTTGTCAGCAATAAAATATTAAGAGCCCTGTTTAATGCCTTTTTTTTTTTTTTGCAAAAAGTGTATTTGGAATATTGATTTGATGGAGAATATATAATTAAAAATAAGGAAAAGTTTTGAATTTGAATGTAATATTATTTTATTGAAAAATGTGAGGTTGAAAGAAGAAAGAAAAATGTATTTTGAAAAAAAAAGAATCAAACAATGTCTAAAATTTAAATTTAACAATTATTTTGTTCAAACTGAACATATATAATTTTGTTGTAAAAATTAGTAATATTCACCAAATGATATTGTGGCCAAGTTTTGTATTATTCAAAAGAAGAGCACGTAATCAAATTTTTATAATTGCATTAAACCCGCTAAAATGTAATATATATTATTCTGGTTAGTTTAGTATCAAATTCAGTAAATGTCGCAATGATCAATGAGGTCAATGTTTTGATTCTCCTCTCCTTGTCCTATTAAATTTTGGTAAAAATTAAAGAATTAAAAACCTTTCACGATAAAAGTGGTGGTAAATGAATCAAAATCGAGACTTCCTATATGAATATAGGAGTTCTAACCAATTGAGCTACAAGATATGTTTGAAACCAAAATAAATTACCAGATATATCATCTCAAAATTTATTAAAAATAAAAATTCGATAAATCCGGCACGGGCAACTGCCGGGGCTCGTCGGGTGCTGGGTCTTCCCCTACCCCCACCGCCTGCGTCAACAAAATCATCGCAATCGCCATCACCTCCACCAGATCCAACAACGCCACCGTCATACCCATCTTGATCCAAAACAAAACCCAACCTCCACTGCTAGATCCACCACCATCGCCACCAACAAAAATCACATCCATAACATGTAAACCAGCACCAGCACCATTCACTGCGCGAGGCGCCTCTGCCACCATAACACTGCCACCACCCACAGACATAGCCCAACGCAGACCAACAACCCAACCCTATACAAAGCACCACCACCACTACTAACACAGCCCCACAATGCACCACACCCCACTAGCGCCACCAATACCATTGCACCGTCGCCACCATCACATGTGGTGCATCGTAGCAACGATGCATCATTGGATCTATGGTGAGGACGATAGGGGCGCTGATTGCTGTTGGCAGCGGTGCTCGATGAGGTAGAGTATAGAGAGAAAGAATTGATTGAAAATGATGAAGGAAATGAATATTAGGGTGTGTGTATATAATTAATTGAATTTTATAATATTATTATTAAGCCTTCATTTGTTTCTCATTTTTCACCAATAAAAATAAAAAACATAACTGCTATCCATCACATCAAGTTATCAATTTTGAATTTCTATTTCTTATGTGAAATCCAATAACGACTATATTTTTCATTCTCATTCTACAATAATAAGAATCAAACGGGCTCTTAATATTAAAAATTGTATTATCATTTGATTTTTGTATATATAAACTATAATTCTTATTTTTGAAATGCATCTTTAAAAATAGGCTTCCATGTAATTTCAACTTTCCTCAATCCGTCTATGTGTCAAGTTATGTGATATGAAAATGAAATGATAAGTCTAGATAAATATATGAATGATTGATTTATGCCCATAACACGACCACCGATTGATTTAAATAGCATTAACTCATGAATAATGCTTTGCGTACAATCTATGGTTGACAAGGAATTTGACAATCCATGTTAATTCAAATTCGAACGGACATGGAAGTGTGTGGTGTTTAAAAACTGGCTACTCAACCTTCAACATGTGGCATATTGTCAAACTTGATGTCAAAAAAATTGTACTTGTAACATGGTTGTTAACTCATTTCTATTAGTTGATAGGTTCAATAGTGTCAGATTGGATGATCTTACAACAATTGTCACGTCTAGCCTATTTCCCGTGAACACAACCCCTCACAAATTACATAGTTGATTTGCAATTTGAGCAATGTTTGAAGTACCGGTGGAATTTTCACAATCAACTTACAGGCCACACACATAGGTGGGTCCTACACAATTTTTTTTAAAAAAAAAATTACATGTGGGATCCGCATCTTGTGAGGGGCCTGTAAGGTCCCTGACAATAATTTCCCTGTACCTGGGGCATTATGCTTGCAATTTATACTTCGGCTGTTGTTTCCTGACAAATCTCGAGTGACAAAAGTTTTCTTTGCAAGATAATTCCCAATAAAACACTTTGTGCAGATCTTATACAAAATCATGGGAAAATAATTGAGTTAGTTTACTATACTATCACACTCCTAAATCACTTATTTTTAAGCAACAAGCCGTCAAGCCTTTTTCAAAATAAGTAATTAGATAACTTATAAGTAATAAGTAAAGACCAAAGTAATCCTTTGACTGTCTGTCCATTTTCCCAAACAAAGCGCAAAGTTTAACATGAATGTGAATGGTCCCCTGGATAAGATTGATAAGCAACAACGGGAGAATTTCTTCGTCAATTTCCTTTGGTATTGAGCTTCACGCATTCGCACAGAGATGGCTGTAGCAGTGATTAATAGCATATCGTGGGGCCTTCCGGGAAAGTTCCAGAGCCTCTCTCTCAGTAGCACTCCAACTGCTGCTAGCGCCGCCTTCAGGCCACTCGGCTTTTCCTCCACCACTTCCCTCAGCCTTTTTTCCAAAGGTTAGCAAAAAATAGAAAACCCATTTCTAATATTCCATTTTTGTTAGCTTAAAGTTCTGGGTTTCTTGTTTTATTTGATGTAGAACTCGACAGTTTTCTTGTTAAGTGTTTTTCATTTTGTGTAGGACTGGTCTTGGTAAGCCCAGTTCAAATGCCACTCCACCGCTCCATTGTGTGTGAAGCCGCGACTACGAAAAAGGCGGACTCTGCTGCGAAAAGGGCTCGACAAGCTGAGAAGAGGCGGGTTTACAACAAGGCGCGGAAATCTGAGATCAGGACTCGGATGAAAAAGGTTATTTTGCTTTGTTTCTAGCTCAATTTGCGTAATCATGAATACTTCTAGCATTCTTTTTCCTAATTATTCTCTGATTTTGAAGTTGTATAAATTGGTTTACTTTCAGATTACATTCTGATAGGAACCTGATTATATGAAAATAACAACTGAGAATTGATATTGAATTAATGACGAAATTACAATGAAAATGAAGGATAAATTCCAGCAATTCGAGAAGCGGGTAGTCTCCCAATTGGATAAACCAATTTACTCAATATTTGCATGCCTATTTTGCTCACCCTCCTATTATACTAATATTCCCCCAATTTATTCTCCAAACTACCCCTAATAACTAACTGAATTGGAACACTCTAGAATAGGACTTAATAAGCATGAATGGATAACTTGGAGTCTATCATTACTCGCCGCCCAAAAATCCACCTTGTCCTCAAGGTGGAAGTGGGACTCAATTTCAAAATTCGGAATTAGCTGAAAAAATTCTTTGGCAAGAATCCCCGCAACCGCAGATGTCCAAATATGATTTTTCACTTCAAAGGCAGTTAAAAAGTTCTGACGCTGACCACGTGCAATTAAAATATTTTCTTGACAAATCCCATAACCAGTTGGACCTTCATAAGGACTCCCCAATGTCTGAATCTGTTTTGAGCTGTATTCACTGTAATATGTCTGGCCTGATCCATAAATACATTTATGTCTTCAACCATTTGGGCTTGCTTCAACTCCATAATATGGCCCAAACCATGAGGCTTTAACTGTGTGTTCTCAGCCCACGTCATGGGTTTAAACCCATTAATCCAATTGCTCTCCAGTAACTCTCCTGGCAGCGTAGGTAAGGGTTTGATCGGGCTGTCGCCTCGTCTCCGGTAATCCTTGCGATTCCGGTTGGCTGTAGTAGCTCCAATTCCCTCATAATCGGTTGGAGCTCCCGAATCGACTGCGGCTTTAGACGGGGTAACTGCTGGTCCTCTTTCGTTCGCTTCACTCTCTTGCCCATTCCCTTTCTTCACTGTATATGAGATTGCCGGCAATATAGCTGCAACTCCTTTCGAACCCAACATTTTCAGCCCACGATCGCGTGTCTCTGTGACTTCACGAATCGCCGGCTCTGGTGAGTCCTCTATGAACTCTTGTTCCTTTCTCTCTCGTTCCTGCCCATCCATTTCTCTCATCATCAAATCGAATTTCACCATCAGTCTAGTATGCATTTCTTTGAACTCTAACCTTAGTGTATCCCAACCGGTTTGTATCTCCTGACGAAAGAGACCTACCTTTTGTTCCAATTTATTAACCCATTCTTCTAATTGCTTTTCTTCATCAGATGTAATAGCTGACTCTTCTTCGATTTCCTTGCTGAATTTTGCTGCCATCCTCCCTAGAATCGAATGCTCTGATACCACTTGATAGGAACTTGATTATACTAAAATAACAACTGAGAATTGATATTGAATTAATGACGAAATTACAATGAAAATGAAGGATAAATTCCAGCAATTCGAGAAGCTGGTAGTCTCCCAATTGGATAAACCAATTTACTCAATATTTGCATGCCTATTTGGCTCACCCTCCTATTACATTTATACTAATATTCTCCCAATTTATTCCCCAAACTACCCCTAATAACCAACTGAATTGGAACACTCTAGAATAGGACTTAACAAGCATGAATGGATAACTTGGGGTCTATCACATTCTCGACACAATTAATTAACTATATATGTGTAATTCAATGTAAATCTAAGTATTAGAATATGCCTATTAAGCCACAGATAGGGCGTCTAAGAGAAGATGCCTCCTTGGCAAGCCTTACTAATGTTTACACTTTGCAACTTGAGGACTTTTGGCCTTTTTTGAGGGTTGAGATGGTGGGAAATAGCCCTTTTAAATTCTCTAAGATGTGAAATGTACAGACCTCCCTTTCAAATTTCAATTTTAACTTCAAAATCTGTTTCTTTTTTGTCTTTGCTTATTTTCTTATTAGGGAACATCAACAAAAGCATTACTTGAGAGAATAAAACACTAGGCCTCTTGCAGCAGTTTATAGCCTTTAAGCTGTATGTGATGCAACAAAAATAATTGCAATAGTTCATCAACTTGTATAAAATATGTTTTATATATTATGCAAGATTATATGCTGAAAGCATGTCTCGAAACTATTCAGAAATCTGCTAACTCAACTTTGGTCGTGCTGATGTATCATGCATTTAGAGCTAATCGATTGACCCCCAAATTTCTAGCTCAATAGGAGTCGAGTTGACCCCTTCATTCGCAGACAACTCTTTTTTTTTTTTTTTTGTGGGGCTGGGGGGGCTGTTCAGAAGATTTTTTCAGGAAAGGCACAAGTATTTTTGAGGATACACAACTCACAAATTTGGACATCTGCATGCTTTTTGTCTGATGGAGAGTGCAAGTGTCCCTTTGTTTCAGGGTGTGTCTCTTCTGTATACGAGGGAGATAATTGCTCCTTGCTGGCTTAAGGATCTATGGTAGCCATACAGCCTATACTCTAGATTCGAACTCCTAGAAGCTTTGGTAACATGCTTCATTGGACATATACTTGGTACTCATTTATCATGTATATGCATGTTTTGCAGCATGCAAATTGGGAAGTGTGTAATAAATGTTATAATAATCTAGAAGTATGAAACACAGAATAATTATCTTAACTGGAAAGCAGCAAGATATGATTCTATTAACAGAATATAAATGCCAGTAAGTTTTATGGTGATGCCTTTCCTATAGATACAGTTAGTTGCTGGTTTAATAACCAAAGCAACCATAATTTGCCTTTTCCATGGACTTGGAAATCTAATTTTCGTTAAGAGGTAAAAAGACAGCAGGTGGATGTTTGATATATGTAGTGCTGATTGTTGGTTTGATAACCCGAAGATCGTGATTTGTCAACAGTGCTGCCCAGTAGCAAAATCTCTTGTCCACTTTTTTAAATGTTTGTAACTTTGTATTGGATTGAAAAGGTAGACAAAACATACAGTATAATATATACCAGGCTAATTGTTGGTTTGATAACCCCTGGTATCATGATTTGTCTTAATAGCTGCACTAATTCCCACGTCCCCCTCCCTGATGTGCTCTGATAGTATCTAATCTAATGATGGGGCTCGCCCAAGCCCACCCCAACCACACCTAGTGACTGTGAGTATTTTAGAGAGAGAGAATTAATTGCCTCGTTCACTCGCCTTACTGCATTGTAAGGGAAGACCTAGAAATCTATCAATATCTAAGCTGCTTAAAACACTTTTTAAGTTGATTTACAAATTGACGCAGTTATATTGCACAGTATAAGTATTCCAGTTGAAGCTTTAAATTGGAGATTGCCAGATTGGGATGCTTCTGGAAAATGCACAACTGCTGAATTAGAAATAAACATTGACTGAAACTTGAACAGGAAATTTAGATTAGAGCCCTCTCTCAGGGCATGAAAAGTTTTCTGTCTTGATCATGTCGTGAAAGTGAATGTACTTAACTATATAGCATGACTTGCATGAATTGTACTTCTGAAGAAACATGTACAAAATCTCATCTTTTGGATCCACCAATAATTGAATAAAATCCATGCTGTTATAAATGTACATAACCATTTACTGCATTACTCTAGTCCCCTAATGCATGCTAATATTTAGACAAGAAAACAACGTTAATAACACGACAATTCTTACAGACAAGGTACTGATGTAAGAAATACATATTACAACTATGTTTTATATTTGTGCTCGTGCATAAAATTTTTGACGTGCTGATGAGAGAACGGTGGATATTGCAGAGAAAAGCACGAGGACAGTTACACAATGATGTGTATAATAATGCCTTTGTCTAGCACTAGTTTATATTATAATTACAATTTTTAAGGAACCTCTGTTTGTTGCATAATTGTTGATGTAGAAGTGATATGTTCTATATTTCTAATATGTTAGTGTACAGGCGATGAGGCTGAAATGCTGCGTATTATGTTTTTTCCTTGAGCCAATGGCCTTAATTTTTGAAAGTCATTGCATTACTTAAGGAGAAATATAGAACTTTGTATAGGCTGGTAATTTCCATGTTCTTGAGTTGTAAATTGTTGGGGTTGGCTGTTTCTGCTATGTAAATTCTTCTCTTGCATTATCAGGTTCTAGAAGCGCTTGATGTTCTTGGAAAGAAGCCTGAGGCACAACCTGAAGACATTCTTCCCATTGAGACACTAATTGCAGAGGCGTATTCTGTCATCGATAAAGCTGTGAAAGTTGGAACGCTTCATCGGAATACAGGAGCAAGGAGAAAGTCCCGACTTGCTAGAAGAAAGAAAACCATTGAGATTCAACGTGGCTGGTATACACCTGCAGCTCCAGCCCCCTCAGCGTAATGTTCATCATTTATGTGATGTATCATGTATATGTCTAGTGTAATCAGTTCATTGTTTTTTCTTAATTGAGATTTTGATCATTAGATGTTACCTTGTTTCCTAATATATCACTCACAACTTGGCTCAAATTTTCTATGAATTATCTTTCAACTTCCAGTATTGGTGGATGGATTGATGATTTTACCTCTTTAGATTTCCTTGAGATACGTTATGAAGGATTTCCCTGTCTACAGTTATGATATGTTTGGCACATTGAATTGCACTTGACAAGATTAAGAAAGAACTAAAAGAGTAAAACATCACGCTCATTGTCATATGTAGTAATGTTCAATAATGTGTACCAAATATGTCTTCATAAATAGATCATGCAGTCCAATCGCACATTTTGACAGCACAGAAAAACATATTCTACAAGAATCTCAATAAAATGCAAAACAAAACATCCTTTTATGTACAACCAAGTTAAATTGGTCATTTTATCTCAATAAAGTAAAATGATAGACCCTCCCGGGACATAACCCGTTTCTAGCACCCCAAAATCTGCAAACTCAAAGAACAAAGAAAAACATCTGATCTAGTTTATGTTTCCAATTCTGAGCAAATAGTCATTGCTCATTGGGATCAATCTCTCTGTGTCCAGAATTAAGTAGAATAAACACATCAAAAGGCTTCTTCGGTGTCCACAATTTGCACCAAATGCATAACCAAGACAGCTTGAGTTGCCCAGTGTCATATGTAAACTCAAACATTTATCATAAAGCTGTATGCATTTTTCAGCCACTTTTATTCTTCTTTCGTATCCTATGGGAACGATTCAATGAAATGTTTCCATTCATTCGTCCCATCTCCTCGATCTCTTCTCCCTCTTTTAATTTTGTGTTCATGGCATCCACCAATAACTTCGTCCTTGGTTCTGCCATCATTCCCTTCGACACCATATCAGTAAAATAACTCAACGCATCCTCTATCCTTCCCTTCTCATAAAGGCCATGAACCATGATCGTATAAGATCTCTGATCCGGTCCCAATCCACTCCTCTCCATCCCATCCCAAGTATCTTTCACTCGGCTTTCATCCCCCCAGTGAACAAACAACCTTAAAATCAAGTTGTAAGTATCCCCAAGCAACGCACATCCACTCTTTTCCATCCTCTCCAAAATCTTATCAACATCCTCAGGCTTCTTAACATTCTTCAGCAAATGACCATAAGTTAAAGCATTCGGCAAGCAATACCCTCCCTTATCTTCCATCTCATCTAACAACTCATAAACTGTCTCCATCCTCCTAATTTTACATAAATACTTAATTAGAGAATTATAAGTAGCAACATTTGGTGAACAATCCATCTCATTCATCTCACGGAAAATTGCAAGTGCCTCGGGAATTCTCTTCTTGAAACACAATCCGTCGATAATACAATTGCAAATAGCCACGTCTGGCCTACATCCCTTCTCCGGCATTGACCTAAACAACTTCACTGCAGTACTTATCTTCCCTGACTTGCTCAATGCATTAATATAAATCCCATAAGTAAATATATCTGGTTTGCACCTTGACGCCATGATAATCTTCCAAAACCTCTTGGCATCTGGTAAACTGCCCAGAACACACCATCCATTCAGAATGATGTTCCATGTCTTAATATCGTCCCTAAACTCGCTTCTCTTATTGTGGAACAATAATTCGGCTTCCTCCACATGCTTGTACCGGCATAATGACAATAAAAGCGTCTGAAAACCGATCAAGTCTTGCTGTAAACCAAACTCTTTTCTCTTGTAGAAAAATTCGACTGCTTCATCGACTTTATGTGCGGAAGCATACCTATGTGTCACAACTGCGTATGTTCGCTCATCTATCAAATTTTTTCTCTTAGACATTTCGTCGAGCACTTGGGAAAGCTCATCAAAGCATTTCATTCGGCCAAGAGTATCAAGCATTTCGTTAAAAATGCAGGTTTTTGGGAAAAATCCATTGGAATCTTTCCCATTACAAACCAAACCGAAGAACGCGTAAGCCACTTTCCAATCCGAGCGGTGACGTTTCAGCACGTTGAGCACTAAGTCTTCTGATAAAGAGAGATTGCATTTTGCAAGAGACTGCTGGATATCTTCTACTGATTTGTCGGACTGAAGCTTGAGAAGGGCTTGGATTTTTACAGCTTCATTTTCAATATATGAATCCGAATATCCTTTTGATGAGATGGCGGAATCATAATCAGATGTGAAAATATTCGTGCTAATTTGGGTTTGGTGATTGTGATATTTTTGAACTGGGATTAAAAATGGATGGATTTTCTTTGAAATGATGAAGGGATCATATGTGGGTTGTGAAGTGAAATCAAATTTCAATAAGCCTTGGATTTTCCGGGATGATTTTGTCAACAGTCGGAATCTGGAATGCATAATCGATATACAGAACCCACTATTTGGCACTTCCAAGATTGAACTTTGCAGTGCTTTTAACTTCTAACAATGTAGGGACTTGAAAGTGCAACATTTTACCAAAATCGGCTTGTTTTCAAGTTCAGTAGTAGTTATTATCAAGCTATCATAATCATAAATTCTCAACTTGAGCTATTTGAACGGTTAGAAGAAAGAGGCTTGCAAAGAAAAGTTTATAGACTGTGTTTTCATCCCAGTGGAGATGAATATCATTACTCTTCTAACAATCTCAAAGGAGCAATTATCCTCGGGAGAGCATCATTGATTTTTCCAAATGTTAGTCGAGTTACAAACGATTCGATATGCATGATTGTCCAAACTTGTTAAATATGTTCTCGTCACATCAGACGTGTAAAGTTAAACAATTTAACAGTTATAATGTTTTTTTTTTTGTAGATACATACATCTGTAATCCAAATTTAGCAGAGTGGATCATTTTCTTAGCCGTATAGGATCATAGCCAATTGGACAAGCACTACTCAAATAATTATCCGATCATCCAAGTGCGAGAATTCGATCCCAAGCCGTCGAAATCATTGTAAAAAAATAATCTCGATAGAGATTTCGAAAGTGTGTGATATTATTTTCAAATATATTAGGCTGATCAATATAAGATATTTTGAAAATGTTTGATTATTTTAGAATGTAAATCTTACGAAAGTAAATTTTAAACCTATCCAAACATAAACAAAGAGGAGTCGAACAAAAGATAAGAATAAAATTGAATTGGAAAAGGGACAGGGAAGGAGTAAAGGGACTAGGGGGCAAAAAGAGAAATTATAGTAAATAAAGGGCATAACCCCAAATCGGTTCCATACATAAGTAAGAGTATTAAGCAGAAAAGAGGGATTTCTTTCTCTCAATTCGTTCTATCGATCTCTGTTTTCTGAATCGTTTGTTTTCAATAACCATTAATTTTTTTTCTGTTTGTATTTGTTTTGTTTCATCAATTAATCAGTTTCAGGTTGAAGAAAAAGACGGGAAGAGGAAGAAGGGCGACAAGAATCAAAACCTAATGGGTGGCACCGGCTCTTCATCTAAACGAAAATCTTCTAAGAAGAAAAGCTCCAAGAATTACTCTAAGGTTCGTTTGTATACTGTGTTTTCTGTATTTATGTACCGATTATTTTATTAGGTTAGCTTTTATTCTGTAATTTCTCTACTTCTTAAGAATTCAGTTTGCATTCCTTTTGTTTGCATCTTGTTTTGGGTTTCTTAGATCAATAGTGATGTTGAATCGGAACCTTATCTTTATGTGATTGTGTGTATTACGAGGACAGATTTCAAGGAAGAAGAAAATTGGGAGAAATGAATACAAGAAGCGTAGCCATCGACATGATTCTGTTTCGTCATACTCTGATGACGATTCAATAAATTCAGCTAGCATTTCAACCGCCCGTCCAGAATCTGATAATAAGAGTAGAAAAAATAAGTATAAAAAGATAAGGCGTGATCATTCAATTTCTTCGTATGATAATTTTATGAATTCAGCTTCTGAGTCCCTATCCAGTCTGCACAATGGCTATAGGCATGGGAAAGCCAAATCTGGCTCACAGGGTAGAAGGAAAAGAGCCCGTGAAAGATCTATCAGCCCTGTCAGAAATAAGGATTCACACCATGTAAGAAAAAGAAAAAGATCGAAAAGAAACCGTGATGTTAAGACCACTAAGAAATCCTTAAAGAAGTCCAAAAAACATACGAGGGTCAGTTCTTCAAGCTCTGATTCACAGAGCTGCTCCACATGCCGAAGTAGAAGTAGAAGTAGAAGTAGTGAGAGGACTACAGAAAGAGAAAGGGCAAAAGTAATGCGTGATAAGGAAATAGAAAGAGCGAGAGGTAGGGATGCACATAAGGTTCACAGAAAGCGCAAAGTTAGGTCTCCTAGTTGTTGTTCATGTAGTCGAGATAGTGACCATAGTGTTAGTCAAACTGAAGTAGTGGCAACTGCAAATAGTTCTAGGCGTCTGAGATCAGTTATTGCTGTTGTGGAACAACCCCATGACAAAGAGGAAAACAAATGGGAGACAGATCCAAATAAAGAAGAGCTTGTGTACAATCACGATGATTTCCCTTCTCCTAGAAGCACTGAAAGTGATGATGTGGGGAGTAAAGAGGAGTCAGATTATCATTCTCAAGGTGCATCCAATAAGAAGAGTCGTCATGAATCTATGACAGGAGAAGAAATAACTAAACACTCATTCACTGGAACGGAGGGTAATGATCGAAAAGTTCATGCTGTGGATTCTAAGTCAAAAGAGGTTGATTCAAATGCTTTAGAGAAGAAAAGAATAACTGCCATTTCTGTTTCTGTTACTGATATAGGTGGGGATGATCTGGAGTCAACTCTGAGACAAAAAGCTTTGGAAAACTTGAGGAAGTTCCGAGGGGGACTTCAACCGAGTTCTAATGCTAACCTGAAAATTGATAATGAGAGTGATGTTAATAAGATTTCCAGTGCAGGGGCTAATATTATTCAGAACAAATCAACCAAGCAGGATTGCTCTAATGTGGCTTGTCTTACTCGAGAAACGAATTATAGTAGTATGCCGGCATTAAAAAGGAATTTATCTCATCACAAAGAGATTACGGAAGATATTACGGGTCATGAAGATGTTGGGAAGGGGCCTATAACCAATAAACAGAATGCCCTTCATCCGTCTGATGGGACTGCATTGCCCATTCCTTCAGAAAATGAGGATTATACTGCTGCTCATGCGGTTATTAGTAATCCTGCATCAAGCACCGATCCTAATCGGGGTGCAGGAGCTACTAATGCATGTAGTTCTGCTACCATGGAATCAACTTGTGTTGAACCAACTTCTGGAGAGCATAACTTAAAGGACCCGCTAAATGAAGCCAAGGATAGTTCAGAGTTTGAGCAGAAAAGAATGACTGTAATGAGGGGTGGTGAAATGGTAGAGGTAATTGTTATTTTGTAGCAGGAGTTATCGGTTTTAGTCTTTTAGATGATGATTCCTTATCATTTAATTTAGATTTTATCAATTCTATTATAGATATATACAGTAGTTCATGTACATCATTTGCATTTTTTACCAGGTGAGCTATAAGGTTTACATCCCGAAAAGAGCACCTGCTCTAGCTAGGAGGCAACTCAGGCGGTGATGTCATAAAAGCTTGGATTTTGTGTTAATGGACCTTCGAGAACTCATCTGTTATGTCTCATTCTTCAAACTTCAAAGCCACCTGAAGAAATAATGTCTAGTTATGGGTCAATATTGCCGTCTTCTTCAGGTGAAATTTGATTTGTCTTAGAAATGATGTTACATTTTCGTTCAGCCTGTTTTTGTTGGGCTCTAGTTTATCTACCTTACTTTTTCATAAGAAGACAACCTACAGGCGATGGGTTCTTTTTAGGCTCTGGAGAATACGTTTCTTCAGGTAAGGACTGACTGGTCAGAACTTGGCATTTATGAAATGTGAAAGCTTAATGAATCAAAATCTTCTTGTATTCATCAATACTGAATTGCACGTGGACATCAGAATTTGACCTAGTTTGGTGTTCTTGTATAATTATTAGAGTTTATTCAACTTTTTTACTGCTTTCATTTCTTTCCCTTAAATCATGTTTTGCCTTGGTGTTTCGGCTGATTCTGGGAGATTTCTTGCTTTTGTTCTTGTATCAGCACCATAGTCGAATTGAGAAAATAAATTGCTGCAATCTTTATGCAATAAAAATAATTCTAATTTATTTGATTTTTGTTTTTCTTTCATATAGAAATGGAGAATTGAGAATCCAAATTGTTGCAGTTATTTTTTAGTTTTATAAAGTTTAAGATTTAATAGATATTAATTTTTTTTTTAAACTTTTCAATCACACATTTCAATTCATTGCAGCACCCCCCAACATAGCCACCATCTCTACAGCTAACCAGGCCGGACCATGTGGGGTCACCACAAAAATTTGGGTTTTTTTTATTTTATTATTATTATTTTTTTTTGTAAATGATATAATTACCCTACCTAGCCCAGTCGGCCACTATCCTGAAGCCCATTCCCATATCTCCAATCCATAATCCATTTATTATAATTTACTCTACAGAAGTCCCAACCCACGTCTGAGCTCTCGTTTGGTCCTCATTATATTCAAAATACATTCTTATCTCTTATTTTCAATCACACATTTTTTAATAAAATAATAAAATATTATATGCGAATTCAAAATTTTTCCTTACCTTTTAAACATACATTTTTTTATCAAAATACTATTTCAAAATGTATTTTTATAAAAAAAAAAGTAGGGCTCAAACAGGCTCTGCATCTTAAGTCTTCATTCCTCATTTTTTTTCCGGCCTCTGAGCCTCAACTTTCTCTTTCCACGGCCACAAATTGATGAATCATTGAATTGAATCGTTATCAAATATTATACGAGTATACAATGCAACCTTAAACACTCCTTCGCTGGACTGCCCTTGCTAATCCGCTCAAGATTGACTCTTTCATCAAAAAGGTAGTGTAAAATATAAATATGTTCGGGAGTTGTGAAAATTTGAAAATGTTGAAACTTGAAATGTTGGTGGTTTTGGATATCAGGGTATTTCATATGAATCTGATTTTTTAAAAGTTGTGTATTCCGAATTTCTTTCTGACCGAGTGATTCCCAACTGTCCTAGTGGGTTTGGATATGATTTTTTTGCAATTTGTTGAAATGGTGTATTCTAAATTTCTTTCTGACCGAGTGATAGTTTGGTTGCATATATTGAGAATGTTGTACTTAACAATATTGATAATGATATAATTATATGAAGTTTTCAAAGTACGAAAACGCATATGCTATAGTTGTAGTAGTGTATTGACTTATTTTCATTAATGATATGTTAATTTGAAACAAAAAAAAAAACTGCATTTTCATTTTTGAAAAATATGTAGTTAAAAAGTGAGGAAATATTTTGGACTTGCAAAATATATTATTATGTAAATGTGTGGTTGAAAATGAATATGAGAAATAAATAATTTTGTTTTAAAGGTAGTCGAGCAAGTGCTAAGTATTGTATAACTATATTTACTTTACAATTTTTTGTAATACCACATTTTAATTGTACCGAAGGTAGGACATTTGCTCATTAGTGCAATTGACTCCCCAATTTTTTTAGTCGCATTCTTAATTATCCGAACGAAAGCTTTTGTCCAAAAAGACTTCGTTACCGTACTTTGAAATGAGTGGAAAATGTTTGTCAAACTTTTTTATTTATTATTTTCTTATTTAAAATATGAAGGATAATAAGAGCTTATTTGGGAGGGATTTTGGGGGGAAGAATTGATTTTGAATAGTGATAAGATGAGAAATGTGTGGTTGAAAAAGAAGAAAAAAGTATTGATGTGATGGAAAATATTATTTTATTGAAGAATGTGTGGTTGAAAATGAGAATTGATTTACTGTATAAAATGAGAATCTGTACCAAACAGGAATCCCTCCCAAACAGAGCCTAAATCTTTTTATACCTCCCAACAAAAATCTTAATGGAAACAATCATTCAAAATGGAATGTGCCAATTAATAAAAGGTTGAAAAAGATTGGGGACTCGTAGGACAATGAGTAAAGGTTAAGAACTTTAAGAAAATTAAAAATTAATGTTGCCTCTATAAAAGGGGTGATTACGAACAAAAAATGTTCTTTGAATATTATGAATATAATTACCCTATAGAATTTTGTTTACAACACACTCAAATTCTGATTTTGAAACATTACCAAAATTCTGTAATAAGTATTTACAACTAATTTTTTCTTCAATCTACGGCAGTACCAAACTAAACTAAAACCTTACTCTCATTTGGCCAAGTTATTATTATCGATCAATTTCGTGGACGTGATAGTTGAGATAGAGATTAGGCCTCCGATTGATGAAAATTAAAATCAGATTTTTAGTCGATTTTAATAAAAATTGATGAAATGTGTGATTTTGAAGTTATGAATTCCATGAAATGTGTGGTTAAAATTAATTGTTGATTTTGATTGAAATTAAAATTTCTACCAAAACATGGCAATGTATGTCAAAATCAACCCGGGCCACTCATGGGACCGTAGCAGGAGGTACCAGAGGCCGGGCTGGTAAACTTACCAAAACGAGGCTGCAATCTACCAAAATAGGTGTGTAGCATTTGGACAATGAAAAAAAATATAAATTTAACATTATTCTTCTTAATATTACTCAATCTTGTCTAGCATACATGCCAAACAAGCCATCATTGTTCCTACTCAAAGCGGGGATAGATCACAGAGTCTATGTGCACTATAAAGTGATAAACATTGTACGATCTAAATGGTAAAAAAACTTAGTTAATGACCTTTTAGGCATGACTTATTCTTTTACTTCATGTAGAAGACCTTTTGAAGAAAGTTACTTTAATTTTTGTTTGAAAACTAATTTTTAAAAAGACTTCCTATTCTGTAAGTACTTTAGAGGAAGTCGCATTGAACCAATTTCTTCTAAAATCTCTTCTAAGCATTTTATAAAATTAGTCAAACAGTTCCAAAAACAACTTTTGAATCTCAAAAGCTCCTTTTGACTTTTCAAAAGTCATGCCAAACAAATCCAAAATTCAATTCATAGCCAAGAAAATTAACCTTGAAAACCGCAATTTCTTTTATGCCATATTTGATAGTATTTCTTTTCTATGGAACTCGGAATTGGTTTTTCATTTTCCACTTTTTTATTTGTTTGATAGGCAAAAAAAATTTTTTTTTGACAAATAGTTTTCCACCCAACCCCCTTTTTGGTCATTTTTCTTGATTTTTGAGAAAAAAACTTTTCCCACCACTTTTGGTAGGAAAAACTTTTTCTAGGCAACTTTTTTTATTTTTTTAGTTTTTGCAATGGAAACAAATTTTATCCCCAATTGCAACAAATTTTATTACTTTAATGGACAAGTTCCATGAAAAATAAAGCCAAACGAACATCAAAAGATTCAAAATTTCAATATTTTTCAGGTGAAAAATTATACCAATCAAACACAATTACTTGACAATTCCCAATAAAACAAATTCTAGACAATTCAATTCCCTGAAATTCATTTTCTTTCCACCCAAATTCCATTCTTGCAATCAAACGGACCTTCATATCAAACTTGCAAAAGCTAAAAGTACACCAACTTTCAGAACTAAGGAAAAGAACAGAGAACTATATGACCAAGAAAAAAATGACTGGAAATATAAATTACAGTTTCTTTAAATGATATTTACATTTATTCAATTTAAAATCTGAAAATAAGAACACAAATTATAACTCAAAAATAATTATCTAACCTCATGTTTCAAGTATTTAGATCTCGAGAAACATGACCTTGCCATCTGCACTTGAAAGCGGAGGAAATGGATTATCAGTACACCAAACTATTGCAAGCAAGAGCGTTAGTGACATTAGCCGAGCAAAGTTATGAAAACATGCCACAGCATTCTATATTGATTCATTATTCAACTTTACTTACTATAGATGCAAAGGCAATATCGATCTGATTATGACTTGTGAGCATATTTGGTATGCTAAAAAGCAAGTCAATTTACTTATATAGAAAATTAACTTTTAAGCACAGCAGAACAAGCTCTAGTTGTCTAATCAGGTACTTGTTGGGTCTAATACAGGCACAATATGTATTTGTTTTACGAGATAAATAATGGTCAGCAGCTTTCTTACGAACCTTGAGAGCAAGAACCTTGCAAGCGGGCTCATATTGGCATTTGAATGAAGCTCCTTATTTTGCTGCTTTTTCTTGCTATCAGTTTCCGCATTTGTAGCTGGTGTTTCAGTTTTGCCCCTTGCAAAGATACGGGATGCAAGCTCCTGCAGTTCCTTTAATGACGTTTCATTTGAACTGCATATTTTTAGTTACGAGTCAGAAGTTCGTGCTATCTGCCGTTTTACTGTAACCTTACATTGAACAAAGGATAATTAAACTAAGATATAAAATAGTAAACCTTGACAGTCGCTGAAGCAACCCAGTGACAAGTAGTTCGGACGAACCGGGCTTGAAACGTTCCATATCCATTAAAGAGTTTGCCCCTGTCTGGAAAACTGACCCTCTTGAATCATCAGCAATGGCCTGCCATAATAAGTTAGAACATTAAAACCAAGTTGAATAATAAATTGCTGTGCATTTGGGACACCTAC